TGTTGATAAATAAAGATAGATGAATAAAAAAAATATAAAGGAAACATTTTTAAAACCATCATACAGCAGAAAGACAATAAAGAAAGAGGAAAAAGAGTGAGATCAAGCTATGAGGCTTTTAAGGTACTACTATGGATAGTTTTTCAGGATTGTTTAGTGTGGTTTGCGTATACTTGCTATTTCTCACCAAGATCTTTTTTTTAGTTGTTTGCATTCTCTACTCAACATTCTGATTAACTGTTGAAATGATACATACAAAGTTCATCAATAGGTTATTCAATAGGAACAAAAATATCTTCTATCTCATCAGTTATATTGTGTGACCAGTTATATGTGATCATGGGACAGTGGGAAAAAGCACTGGCTGGAGTCAAAGAAATTGATCAGTTCTTTTTATTAACACTACTTATATGATCTTGGAGAAATCACTAAGCTTCCTTTGGCCTCAATTTCCTAATCTGTACATTGAGAGTTAAACTATGTGGCCTCTGAAGTCCTTTCTAAATATTATACCTGATACTTAGTGGTCAATTATGTGATAAACATTTATCAAACACCTACTTTATGTGAGGCACTCTGCTAAGCTCTAAGGACACAAAGTAAGGCAAAAGATAGTCCCTAATCTCAAAGATCTCACAGTTTGATGAGGGGAGACAACATGGAAACACCATGTAAAACCAAACTATGGACAAACAAGCAACATATAGGAAAATTTGGAAATAATCTAGTGCAAGCACTAAAATTAAGGCGATTGGGAAGGGCTTCAAACAGAAGAGAGGATTTTATCTGAGACTTGAAGAAAGGAAGCCAGATCATATAGATGAGAAAGTAGAGCACTTCAGGAATGAGAGACAGTCACTGAAAATGCTTGGATTCAGAAGATAGAGTGTCTTGTTCAAGGAACAGCAAGGAGGGCTTGTGTTCCTTGTGTTCCTAGATCACAAAGTATGTGAGGGTGGGGGAGTGGGAGTTGGTGTATAAAGGCCCAGGAAGTCTAAGATGTAAGAAGATTGGAAAGGCGGGGAGGGTAGGTCAAGAAAAGTTTTGAATGTCAAAGAACTTTGGAGGTGACAGGGAACAACTATGGTACTATAAAATACACACACACACACACACACACACACACACACAAAATTGTTGTTCATTCACTCAGTCATGTGCAATTCTTCATGACTCCATGAACCATAGCACACCAGGCCCTGCTATCCTCCACTATCGCCTCAATTCTATATATAAAATAGACACAGGTGGATAGATTGCTAGACAGACAGACAGACAGACAGACAGACAGACAGACAGACAGATAGATAGATAGATAGATAGACAGATAGACAGACAGATGTAAATAACTATATCTAAATCTTTCTATCTAGATTTTTTAGCCTAATTTTGTTATGATGGATCTTTTGTTTTCCTTGATCTTGAAACATTAACTATTAAAATAAAACAACATTATGTTTCAATGACACATTCTGTATACAGTGATATGAATATGATCTTAGCATAACATTACTGAAATGAACAGAAGGAAAATATGTTAAAAATCATGTGACTAAGGAATAAATCACAATCTGGAATCATAAATAGGTAATATTCAACTTGTTATCGGGGAAATTTCCAGAAGTCATTTTGAAATTATGTGATCATAGAATATTAGAGCTGGAAGAGCTCTTAGTGATTGTTGAAATCCAACCCATTCATTTTCCACATGAGGAAATAGAGGTCTAGATCTACAAAGGCAGGAACTAGCAGAAACCACTTGAAGCTTGAAAGGATATGTATTGTCTCATGGAAACAATGCTATAAAATGATAGCCACATTAAAAAATATGTTCTTAACCCATAACAATGGTGACTATATCTTCTGAACTTTGATTACTCCTGCTACTGCAGCTGCTGCTGTTGTTAATGTCATGGGGTCTGGCAAAGGAATCATTTTCTGATTTGTGAATAAAATTTTGCAATCAAATAATTTCAAACAAGACACCAAACAACTTTAAATTACAGACAAACAGCTGAAAATAGTCTCTGTCTTTGTCACCCCAGAACTAAAAAGGCCACAGATAATCTTCTCCCTCATTGCCCGAGACCTCTGGCATGACAATAAATGCAAATATGCTATGTAAAAACAGTATGGACATACACAGTATCTGTTTTCTTGTGTGTGTGTGTGTGTGTGTGTGTGTGTGTGTGTGTGTGTGTGTAATTACAATATTTCTTCTGCCTATAATTCTTCATCCATTGTGTTCCTCGACCTTTTATGACATGTAGAATTTTATTGTAATAGTCTCTGATTTGATTCATTGTTACTGTTTGCCAAATTATTGAAATATTTCGAGCGTTTCAATGGTTTAAAATAATATGACACTGAGCTATGATATTAAAATGACTCTGAACTGGCACAAGGTCAATGCGCATACACACATAATCAGCTAGAACTCCACAGAACAAGAAAAGTAAAAGATGTCACCAAGAAATTAAATGATAGGAAGAGAAGATGGACTGGTAGGGTATACACAATGTGGACTATTTCATAAAAATTCAAGATGTGCTCCAAAATATTCTGAATGTTTTGTTCAGTAAATTAATTTCCATTTCCAAACAGAGACTTTAGGCACACATTCTAATTTACTCCTAAGTCTCCAGTCAGTAACATTTGGTGCACATATACCTGGGAGTGGAAGAGGGAGTACTTGAATAAATAAAGAGATTATATGGGGGGGGGGGTTGCATTTGAGTGAAGTGCAAGGTAAGCTCAATAAACATGGTAGGCAAAAAAAAAACAAAACAAGCTGAAAAGCTAACACACTAATAAATTTGTAGTACCCAGAATGATAAAGCAGCATGATAAAGCGAAGAGAGCACTAGATTTGGAGACAAATAATCTGGAGATGGCTATCTATTCTGCCATTTACTAGCTCTGAGATCTTGGATAAGCCATTTGGCATTGTTCTAGGTGAGTGGCTCTCAATTAATCTCCCCAAAGAGCTTTTGGTTATGTGGGTTAAATCCATGAACATTCACCATACTATTTTTCATGTAAATTATTTTAATTAATGCAAATATAATAATGATAAGCACATTACATATTAACATAAAATGCACTTTATTAAAAATTATTACATTTTCCAAAACAAAAACATGGAGAAGAGTGTCAATTTTACTTATTAACTTTTGCAAATTTATATGTCTTGCTTAATAGAAGACAGCTGGATTCTCTTATCTATCTCTGCATTCAATTTGTTCCTATATGTTGCTTTGCTAGAAATGTATGAAGAAAATCTGGACACATGCAGATGTGTAATTGAAAAATGAAGGGGAATATTAAAAGTCTCAATATTATTATGAATATTTTTTGGCCACAGGAGCCCTTGCAAGGATCTGCAGACCCACAGGATCTGCATACCATGCTTAAGAACTTCTGGTGTAGATTATTCTTATGGTTCTTTTAAAATCTTTCTTTTCTTAAATTTTGTAATGCATAATTATTGACTACTGGGTACCAGTTGGTTGTTAACTTTCTGTAGTTATATAGTAGAAAAATCATCTGTATATATGAGTAAAAGAAAACATGTCTTATCTCTCTGCAACTGAATAAATAATATTTATGCTCTGGAATTAAAAAAAAAAAACAAGAATAAAAGAAGAACTTTTCTTCCACTAGAAATGAATGCTCCTCTCTGCTTCTCTACATTTAAAAAAATGTTTGTTGAATTGAAGACAAAGTACCATTGTACATCAGTATAACCCATTTCACTGGGTTAATCATTTCCTTGGCATTCAAAATTCAAGACAAAGAACAATTTCAATGATAGCAATAGAAAAACAGGAGCTGGGGCTCCAAATGTGGCTTCCCTTGTTGCCCATTCATGTCTAGAATTCATTACTAACTCAAGTACATGTAAGTTAGGAAATGTCTATAAATTAATTTCAAGGAGGCAAACTTCTTCAAGGTACACATCTGACCTGATTCAAGACTGTACTTCCAAGTGGGTAGGAAGAAAATGCTCCCTTAACACCAATCTCAAGTCCTGCTTCCTTCAAAAACTTTTTCCAAACTGCAGAGAGCTTTTTTTTTTCCATTAGCAGCTTTGTTTTGTTTTGTCTCCAAAAACATCATGTCCTGCTAGTTTCAGCTTCCTTTTGTTTACTGTATTTCTATATTAGATTGTAAACTACTTGAGGCAGGGACTGTCTTTACTTTTTATTATTTGTATATCCAGAAGTGAGCACAATGCCTGACACATAGTAGGTGCTTAATAAATGTTTACTGAATTGAATTACAGCTCAGAGTGTTTTCTTCTACTCTTCCTAATTGGTCATGACATGCATTTTCTACAGTGGATATTTAAGCAGGTAGTTATATCTATCCAAATTAGCACTTATCCAAAAAAGTGCCCTATATTTTCTGTGTTTTATGCTTAATTATGTCATTAACACAAATCATCTGTCATCCCAAAATGATACCTGGCATGATGGTGCCTCATTCTTCTTAGGTATCCTCCACATATCCTGGGCCAGTGGTAGCTACATAATAGGTGTCCATTAAATATTTATGGATCTGAATTAAATACGATAAAACCTAATAGTATAGATTAGCAGCCATGACCAGGTATAGATGACTTCAAAAATCTCATTTGGCTCAGAAAACATTTCTTGTAAGAAAAAAAAAATATTAGTACTCTATTTCCCTTAAGGCTGTATGTCTGAGTATAAGGCAATTCCATCAGAAAGCTGGGACTTAGATTTGTGCTAGCATTTTCTGAGATACTAAAAAAGAATTTGTTTTAAGTATCTTGAATCACTAGGTCTATAGATTTCTCCTAATTAATCAATCTATGAGCATTTATTATGTGCTTACCATATGCAAACTATGCTAAACTCTTCGGATACAAAGAAAAAAGAAAAAAAATAGCTTATTTCAACAAGGATCTCGCCTTCAAATGAGGTAGACAACACATACATAAATCAGAACATACAAAATAAATAGAGAGAACGTACCTAGATACATAAATAAATATCTTCAGAAAGGATAGAACTATCTGCTTGGGGGTGGGATCTGAGGAACCAGTGAAGGCCTCTGCATAGAATTTGAGCTGACTCTTGAAGAGATCCTAACAGGCAGAGGTTAGGACAGAACAGATTTTAGCATGTGGGATAGCCAGGTCATCTGCTAGCTCTTTTAAATTTCCATTGCTCCCATGGTAGAACAGGTACGTGATATAATGTGCCATAGTATTCTAACAGATCTTCTTGCCTCTGTCACTCCTGGCTTGAAAGCCATCTATTACCCATGCTAGGGTAATTTTCCTTATGAATAGATAAAATCATGCCAAAGATTAGGAAAAAAAAATTCCCAACAACTCTTATTCACTGCTCAAAACACAACAAAAATGGCCCAACTGGAAGCTGATATCCATGTTATAAAGAGACAGTAAGAGAAAACTAGCTCTTCTTCAGTAAGTTCAAGTCACCTGACCCAATTAAACTATATTCAAGGTCATTGAAAAAAGTCATGAATATGATGGCCAAGAGTTTATAAGTTATTTTTGAAAGACTCTGGATAAGATGAAATGTCCAGCACAATTTTTTAAAATATCATCAAAAAAAAAAATTAAAGTAATAGGACACAGAGCAATTATAGCAGATTAGAGGCAGTAACCCAGCCAAACTCTCCCAAAATTTCCCTCTAAGCAACTTAAAAATAACATCACAAAGCTGGAATGGCAGAGCCAACAAAAAGTCAGGGTGAGTCATTTTTCCAGCTAAGACAAATTAGGAAGTTGGCAGGAAAGAACTGTGACACCAGGGTGCAGATTGGCATGGACTACAAAAAGAGACAATGCCAGAAGTGGGCATTGGAGGTTGCCCAGGTTATCGTAAGGCTGGGTTGGATAATTGGTCAGCTACAGATTGCAGGTGACCCTTTGTTGTCACTGCGTGTGGTACCCAGTACTGTTTGGCAACTATTGCCCATGCACAGTATAGGTTACAATTCCAGGGTGAAGAGGAGCACTTGTGGTTAGTCAAATGGAAGCAGGGTCCCTGGTCTGTTTCAGGCCTAAGAGCAGTCCTAGGAGGCTTTGCATCTTTGAATACTACCTTGCAAAAGTATTTCTCTGCAGTGGAGCAAAAATGAAAGATTGGAGGGAACAACCCAGCCACACTCTCCCCAAATCCCACTCCAAACAACTCTAAAATAATACCTCAAATTGATTTCTGGAGTGGCAGAAGCAATAAAAGGTCAAAGCCAATAAAGGACATTTTTCCAGTCTAAGAAAACTCAGATCACCAAGAGAAGTCTGTGATACCTGGGAAGGGTTGGGTGAGGGGCTGGCCCAGAGTGCACACTGTGGCAGCACCAGCGGCAGGCCTTGGAGGCAATTGTGACATCAGCAGCAGAAGGAGCTTCATGAGCACTCAGTCCATAAATGGTAAGGGGTTTGGACAATTGGTCCAAAGAAGGTTATGGAGACTCTTTAATGGAACTAGGTACAGCTTGTTCTGATTGACAAATAACAGTTCTAGATCACAGTTACAGAAGGGAAAGGAACATGTTTGGTTGGCCATTAGGGAGCAGGGTACCTATTACAGATAGAAATCTATCTTATCTAACAGGAAATAGGAGGGGAAGAGTATAAGAGAAAGAGAGGAATAATAAAAAAAAAAAAAGGAGAACAGATTGTGGGAGAGAGTGGTCAGAAGTAAAATATACTTTTGAAGACAGACAGTATAAAAAGAGAGAGAAGAATAGACAGAAGAAAATAAGATAGAGGGGAATACATAACTAGAAATCTTAACAGTGAATGTGAATAGGATGAGTTCACCTATCAAACAGAAATAGTTGACAAAATGTATTAGAAACCAGAATCCAACAGCTGTGGTTTAGAAGACACATAATTAATAAAAGAAAGACACAGTTAAAATAATGAGAGGGAACAGACTCTATAAGACTTAGGAATCTTTCTTTCTTCCTCCTTCCTCTTGTCCTCTCTTCTTTCTTTTCCTTTCCTTTCTTTTCTTTCTTTTTTCATCTGTCTTTCTGTATGTCTTCTTATTCATTTTTCTCTTTTTGTTTTTAACTCAAAAGAGAAAGTCTCTTTCCTAAGGGATAGGGCTCTTTTAGAGAGAGAAATCTTATTATGCTTCAGCTGAAATTTTTAAAAAGGTAGTGGTAGCAATCATGAACTCAGAAAAAGTAAAAATAGAACTAATTAAAAAAGATAATCAGAGAAAGTACACTTTGCTAAAAGATACCATAGATAATAAAATAATACAAAAAATTTAAAAGCAAGTTTCTCTGAAAAAAGGTTTATTTTTTCAAATATGTAGGAACTATGTCAAATTCATAGAAATAAGAGCCATTTAATAATTGATAAATTGTCGAGGGATGTGAGGGGCAGCTAGGTAGCACAGTGAATATAGTGTTGCACCTGGAGTTAGGAAGACTCATCTTCCTGAGTTTAAATCTGGCCTCAGACAATTTCTAGCTCTATGACCTTAAACAAGTGAATTAACAATGTTTATCTCAACTTCCTCTTCTGTGAAAATGAGCTGGAAAAAGAATTGGCAGATCACTCCAGCATCTTTGCTACGAAAACTGCAAATGGGGTCATGAAAAGTTGGACATGACTGAAAAATGACTGAACAGCAACTACAAGGGATGTGAAGGGTAGCTTACAGAAGAAGAAGTCAAAGTTGTCTGTAGTCATGGGACTGGATATGTGATTTCATTTGTACAGGCAATTCCTGAATGAGGAAATTCCCTCTCCCAGTTTAGATTGTCACTTTTTCTGCAATTTCTAATCTTTGAACAAAAGTAAATAAGCTACAGCCTATCACATCTAATTTTGTGTGGCCTACAGCCTAAAAATGGTAAAATTAGCCTAAAAAATTAGGCAGGGTCAAATTTGGCCCTCAGGTTGGAATTTGTCAACCCAAGCTTTAGAGAATTACCTAGAACACTGAGACGCTATGACTTGCATATGACTACACAGTGAAGATGTGCCAGATACAGGACTAGAATCCAGGTATTCCTAGTTTTAAGGTGAGATCTCTTTTCACTACATCAGTTAGGTGGATTAGGAAATAGTTAAACACTGAGACACAAAACATCTAACAGGTAAGTATCTACTGAGAAAATGATTTCTAGTGGAATATTTGAGGATTCTGTTTTTGAGCTTTTGCAATAGAAAATATACTGTATTCTTTTTATATATATATATGTTTCAATTTATATTTCTCTAATTTTCATATACGTGAAGAAGATAATACATATTCTATTTCAAAAGCTCAGAAGCAAAATCCTCAAGCATATATATGAACACATATACAGATATACACATGTGCACACATGTGTGTATATGTATATATACACACACATGTATATGTGTATATATGTGCACACATGTGCGTATATGTGTATATATACGTGTGCACAATGTGTGTATATGCATATGTATATATACACATCTGTATATGTGTTCATATATATGTGTATCTATGTATGTGTCTATGTATGTGCATGTATATTATATATATATATATATATATATATATATATGTGTGTGTGTGTGTGTGTGTGTGTGTGTGTGTGTGTATGCATATATACCCCATGTTATTGGACTTAGGTATGCACATAGATATCATGCTTGTCAAATATGCTGATGATTAAACAAAGTGAGTAGGGATAGAAAATACTCTGAATGGTGGAGAGAATATTCACAAAGATCCTGCCAGTTTCCTACAGGCTAAAACACTGGGATGAATCCTTTTAGGTTAATCTTAATGCAAATAAATATAAAGTCTTATCACTTGGGTACAAAATGTCAACTTCTCACTGAAAAGATTTGGAAGTGAAGCAAGAAAACTCTGTGAAAAACATCTGGGAATTTCTTTGTATCTACCACAAGTTGAATATGAGTCAACAATTTAATATGCCTGGATTAAAGGAAGCCAAGTGTCAGAGACTAGGGATTTGATGATACTGCATACTCTGCCTTGTCAGACCACATCTGGACTGCCATATTCAGGTCTGAGAAAAGACCTTTTAACAAGGATATGAATAAGCTAGAAAAGAGTTACTAGAATGATGATGGACCTTCAGTTCATGCTCTGTGAGTATACATTAAAGGAACTTATAATGTTTAGTTAGGAAAAGAAAAAGGCACGGAGATAACAAGATAGCTGTCTTCAATTAACGAAATGCCCAGCATCTGGAAGAGGGTATAGATTTGTTCTGCGTTACTCCAAAGAGTAGAACTGGAAGCAATGAATGTAAATTGGGGAGGGATAAATTTAAACTTTGGGCATTGGGGGCAGGGTGAGTTGAGAGGAACATCATTTTTAATAATTAGAACTTTATTGAAAAAATTTTAAAATATTTTATTCTTTAAAAATGTATATACATTTCTATTGACGTTTGGTACAATCATTTACATATTATCCCCACTCTGGAAGAGCTGTCTTGTAATGGAATTTAACATCTGAGCAAAACTAATAATAACAAAATGCAATATTCCACATCTGCAGCACATATACCCCCACCAATGCTCTGTATAAGGAAATCTATTGCTCTCCTTCTCACTTCTCACCCATTGAAAAATCAATGAAAAGAAAAACAAAATCCATATAACAAATATACGTAGTCAAAAGAAATTCCATGATTGGCTATATACATTACACATGCATGGAGGCCTACACATATACATACATACACACATATGTGCCTCATTCTGCACACTGAATCTGTCACCTTTCGTTAGGAGGTAGATGGTATGTTTTATTATCAGTCATTTGGAATCATGGATGGCCATTGTATTGATCTTATATTTTTCTACCTTTTAGTTATTTGTTCTTACAATGTTGTTATTATACAAATTGTTCTGTGCGTTCTGTTCCTTTCATGTCATCTGTTTACAAAAGTCTTCAATATTATTTAATTTCATAATATTTATGTTATAGTGTACATTGTTCATCTGGTTCTGCTCACTTCACTCTGCATCAGTTCATATAAATATTCCCATGTCTCTTCAAAAGCATGTATTTCTTCAATTTTTTGGAAATAATAGTATTCCATCATATTCACATACCAGTTTATCCAACCATCTCTCATTTGATGGGTTCTTTTTACTTTGCAGTTTTTTCCCACCACAAAAAGAGCTGCTCTAAACTTCTTTTGTTTTGTTTTATTTGTTTTTGATTTTGTTTTGTACACAGAGGACCTTTTTGTATTTGTAACTTTTAGTGTATAATTTCCCATTCTTTTCCAGAATGGTGACAACTATTTACAGGTCTACCAACAATGTGCATATTTCCCATAGTCCTTCCAACATTTACAATTTTTCTTTTTCTTCGGGGGGGGCATCTTCGTCAATCTTATGGGAATGCAGTAGAATTTCAGAATTGCTTCAACTTATATTTCTCTAATTTTTGGTGAGTTGGAAATTTTTTTCTGGTTTCAGATAGTTGGAATTATCCCTTCAGAATTGCCTTTTCAAATCATTAATTATCAATTAAGGGATTGTTCTTACACTTATAATTTGAATCAGCTCCTTATATAGCTTAAAGAAAGAAAACATAATCAGAGAAAAATGCTGCAAAGATTTTTAACCCACTTAATGACTTTCTATTTAATCTTAGCTTTATGGGATTTGTTGGTGCAAAAAAACCCAGAACTTTTAAAAAAAGTATGTAATCAAAATTATGTATTTTTCTATAATCCTCTTAATCACTTTTTGGAACATGAACTTTTTTCCTATGAATAGAGATGATAGATTTTTTTTCCATCTTCCTCTAATTTGTTTATGATGTGACCTTTTATGTGAGGGTCATATATACATTGGGAGGATTAAGATAATAATTTGTAATCTTTTGATCTAAGTCTTCCATACTGATGATGTCCAATTTTCCCAGCTACTTCTGTCAGATAACAAATATTTGTCCCAGTAACTGAGTACTTTCTTTTTATTGAGTACGAAACTATTATATACATTTACTTCCATATGCCATGTATCTAAACTGTTCCATTTATGAATCTATTTTCAACCTATATTGAATAGTTCTGAAAATAATTGCTTTGTGGTACAATTTGAGTTCTGATATTCTTATGCTGCCTTTGTTTCCATTTATTTTCATTGTTTCCATGAGATTGCCTTTTTGCCTTCTTACGATTTTTCTAAAATTTCTACTTCTATAAAGTAATCTTTTCATAGTATGAGTGAGTATTGGGTAAGTAAATTAATTTAGGTAGTGATGTTATTTTTTATTATAGTGACTCCTACCAAAGAATATTTATTATCTTTCTAATTATGTAGGGTGTTCTGGGTTGAGGTGGAGAATAGTTTACAGTTGTATTTACATTGTTATTTTTTATAT